ACCAGAGAAGTCTCCAAAGAGCAAATTTAGGGAAATCCGGGGAAGGGTCCTGATGGTGATAGCCGGCACCCCAGGCCTGCCGAGAAAGGAGGCAGGTAGGTACAGAAGAGATACAGGCGGGCACTCATGTTCCAGCTCTCTGCCTTCAGATGGGAAGAGTACGAGGCAGATCTGTGACCCCAAGGAGGCTCACAGCAGGGACAGAGACCCGGATCATTAACGCAGATGTATAGGAATGCTCTAGTGAGTGCGAGGCATCGCAAAGGTTTCTGTCAGTGGGGTGGGGCCAAGAAGGGTGGAGACAACGGGGCGTGGAGACAGCGGGGCGTGGAGACAAGGCCTCCTGGATACCGGCACTGCGGTCTGAGGATCCTGTCCAAAGGAAAGGGTTGTGTTGCCGTTCAAAGTGTGCGTGAGTTTGGAATGAGCAGGCTACCGACTTCCCGGGTCCTCCCAGGGGGCATTTCCAGCCGAGGGCAAAGAGTTCCTCGCAGGGAGTGCCGTCTCCATGGCAGTGATGCAAGGATTTTCCCTTAAAAGGCTGGCAGAGTGTCTGTGCCCCAAGGGTCACCCCTGCTCCCACACAGAGACCTGCGTTCCCGGACATTCTCGGATGGCCAGAAAGACGCATTTCCACGTATCCTAGCACCAGCAAGTGAAAATAAGTGAAGAGCAGCCACCCCTTACTATCAGTGGGGGACTGATTCCAGAAACCCCAGGCATGCCAAAATCCAAAGACGCTCAAGTCCTTTACATAAAATGGCATGCTATTTGCATATAATTTACATCCCTCCTCCGGTACACTTCAAATCATCTCGAGATGACTTATTCTATTTATATGATGCAAATGCTATGCAAATAGTTGCCGTGTTGTATTGTTTAGAAAATGAGGACAAAAAAAAAAATAATCTGTGTGTTTTTCAGTGCAGGTACCAGGTTTTATCTTTCTACCCTAAAATTTTTTCAAGATTTATTTTTGTTTGATGTGTATGGGTGTTTTTCCTGTACGTGTACCTTCAGGCCTGGTGCCCTAAGAGGCCAGAAGAGGACATCAGATCCTCCGAAACTGGAGTTACAGACAGTTGAGAGCCTCTGCTGAGTTTTGGGAACTGAACCCAGGTCCTCTGCAAGGACAGCAAGAGCTCTTAACCACTGAGCTATCTCTCCAGCCCCAGATGAAAGGTTTTTAACAATTTATTTGTGATGTGTTTGTGTGTGTGTGTGTGTGTGTGTGTGTGTGTGTGTGTGTGTGTGTGTAGGTCAGAAGATAACTTGCAGGAGTCAATTTTTGCCTTCGACCGTGTGAGTTTGAGGGTTGAGCCCAGGTCATCAGACTTGGCAGCAAGCACCTTTACCATCTCAGCAGCCTCAGACGTCAGTTTTAAAAATACTATTTCTTGCCAGGCGGTGGTGGAGCACTCCTTTAATCCCAGAGGCAGAGACAGGCAGATCTCCGAGTTCGAGGTCAGCCTGGTCTACAGAGTGAGTTCCAGGACAGCCAGGGCTACACAGAGAAACCCTGTCTCGAAATAAAATTATTTCTTGATCTACTGTTGCTTGAATCCCCAAATGTGGGGCCCCAAGGAAACGGGCAACTGGATGTACGCATGTGTACACAAGTATGCAACGTTTCCTCGGTGGGACAAGTTACTTCACTAGAATTGGGCCTCTCCCATCCCAGACCCTAAGCGGCTTGCCCCTCTTCCAGGCCGAGTTCTGCAGGTCTGGGGAGGGAGTGCACACTGCAGACCCTTCCACTCTGCTGTGTTCCCAGATTCCAAGGAGAGGCAAAGTGAGGCCCTCACTGCCTCATGGTGAGCCTGCAACAGCAGCCCTGGTAGCTGCTCCCAGGCTCACTCAGTGGCCCCCCAACCCCAGGCAGGGCCGTGGAGGAACACGTGTTGTGTCTGGAGCAGTTTAGTTACACACTGATATATGCACTAATCCCGGGGGTTGAGGGGAGCAGGCAGCATTGGGGACATACATAGTTCCTCCCCAGTTTGTGCAGACAGAAGAAGCCCCCAGAACCTAGAGTCAGGCAGACCCAGGGGCAAAACGGGTAGCTGCTGCCTCCTAGCTGGGGATCACTCCTGCTCATTAAGTAACATGAACTCCATCATGGCCTCCTCCTCTGTAACATGGCTCCATGCCAGTACCTACCTCCTAGGGCCTTGGTGGGCGTTCCTCAAGGCAAGCATTTAGCATCTGAAATTTAATCAGTGCAATCTACAAATGTTTGTATCCATACCATCCTCATTACCTGCTTCTCTGTGACAACTCAGACACCTTAGGAGGCTGCTCAGTACAGTAGCCACACGTGGTTACTTACATTTGAACTGGAGGGCTGGGGCATAGTTCAGGATAGAAGACATGTTTTGCATAGACAAGACCCCAGCTCAATCCTCAGCAAAAACAGAGCTTTTAATTAAAATAAAATAAAAATTAATAATTCTGTTCATAGCCGGGTGGCGGTGGCGCACGCCTTTAATCCCAGCCCTCGGGAGGCAGAGGCAGGAGGATCTCTGTGAGTTCGAGGCCAGCCTGGTCTACAGAGCGAGCTCCAGGACAGGCACCAAAACTACACCGAGAAACCCTGTCTCGAAAAAACCAAAACCAACAGCAACAACAAAAACAATTCTGTTCATTAGCTACATCCTTACAGGTCAACAGCCGCATGTGGTCAGTGGCTGCCACACTGGATATCGCGGTGTAGAATACCAGGAGAGCCTCTGAGTACAGAGAGTTGCTGGTTAGAGCACAGCAAGTGTAGACTTGGGCTGCCTGAGTTTGAATCCCACCTCTGACACCTGCTAGTGTGACCTCAGATGTGCTACTGCATCAGACTCAGTTTCCCCACGTGTGAAATGGGGCTTTGGTGAGGCAATTCACCAAGACACTTAGCATAGTATTGGCTTCCTCAGCATACTGAGGGCATGCTGTAAGGCACCCAAAGGATTGTATATGCTTATTTATTTATCTATGTGTGTGCAGGTGTGTGTGCAGGGGTGTGTGTTCAGAGATGTTTGTATAGGGTGTGTGTGTGTGTAGGTGCATGTGGGGGTGGGTGGGTGTGTATGTGTGTGTGCAAGTGTGTGTGTAAGGGAGTATGTGTGGGTATGTGTGTGTAAGGGTGTGTGTATATGGGTGGGTGTGCAAGTGTCTGTGTGCAGGTGTGTGTGTAGTGGTGCATGTGCCGGTATGTGTGTGCAGATGTGTGTGTAGGGGTGTGTATGTAGGGGTGTGTGTGTATGTGCAGGGGTATGTGTGCTTGCATATGAGCAGTGTGCATGTGGAGAACAGGGGTCAACCTCAACCTTGGGTGTTGTTCCTTAGCCTCCTACCGTTTTTTGTTAGTTTGTTTGTTTTTTTATGGGGTGTGTGCACACACATGAATGCAGGTGCCCTTGGAGGCCAGAAGATGGCATCAGATCTCCACAGAGCTGGGGTTAGAGTCAGCTGTGAGCCTCCTGATGTGGGTACTGGGAACCGAACTCAGGTCCCCTGAAAGAGTAGTGCCACTGAGCCACCTCACCAGCCTGTTCCCTGCCCCATCCGCCTTAGGTTTTGAGACAAGGCCTCTCACTGGGGCCTGGGGTTCACTGGTTCTCGGCTGGCGAGTGAGGCCCAGCTCTGGAGGCCCTGTCTCCGACTCCTCAGCACCCATCACCGTGCTCGGCGTGTTAGTGGGTGACGGGAACTAAATCAATGCCGTCTCCCCAGCCTCTGCTCTTATGATTTTGTTTTAAAAACTTTTATTTACCAGCCGGGCTGCGGTGGCACACTCCTTTAATCCCAGCATTCAGGAGGCAGAGGCAGGTGGATCTCTGTGAGTTCGAGGCTAGCCTGGTCTACAGACCGAGATCCAGGACAGGCACCAAAATTGCACAGAGAAACCCTGTCTCAAAAAAAACAAAAACAAAAACCCCAAAAAACCTTATTTATTTACACTTATTTTATTTTTGTCTGAGGGTTTTGCCCGTATGAATATGTGTGTATGATGTACATGCCTGATGCCCATGGAGGTCAGAAGAGGGCATCAGATGCCCTGGGACTGGAGTCACAGATGGTTGTTAGCCACCAAGTGGGTGCTCGGAACCCAACCCAGGTCCTTGGGAAGAACAGCCAGTGCTCTTAACCATTAAGCCATCTTTCCAGCCCCCTGCTTGAATTATTTCTTACTGGTTGACACACACGCACTTTGGAGCCATGAGTGGGAGACTTCAAGAATCAGATTCACAAGCCGGGTGTTTGAAGACGGGGCCTGCTGTGTAGAGAACCCCTTTTCTCCCCCAGCACCCCCCTCATGCCCTGTGAAGCCAGGATTGGCCGGCGGCACTGGGCCAACTTACGTACAGGTTGTCTGTTCTCGGCAAAACCTTTTCGAAGGAAAATGCAGGCGGGTCCCAGCAGGTTGTGCATGACTGCGCAGTTCTGGGCCAGCATCATGAGCGGTCCCGGGAGCTCGCCGCCGCCGGCGGCCAGGCCCTCCTCACTCGTCTGCACCACCATGTAGCTGGTCTTCTCCTCCTGGCGCATCTTCAGCCAACACCAAGCAAATAAAAAGAGAGGTGAGGTGTCACCTCCTCCCTGTTCATCTGGATCCTCCCAGCCCCGGCCTGGCTGGTGATTCCAGGAGATCCTTGAGAGTCACATGGCGAAGTTCTGAGAGCGTTAGCATGTACAAGGACAGTATATAATTGATCCGACAGATGGAGGCTCCAATCCTTGGCTGAAAGAGTTGTCCCATGGAGCATTCTATAGATATGATGCTTGAAGTAGGGTGTTCTCACGCATGCACGCATGTGCGAGCACACACACACACACACACACACACACACACACACGCACACACACAGGCACGCACACACACACAGGGTGCATGCAGTTCAGAGAGCGGAGCACTTCCGCCCTCACTCCGAGTGCCTCACAGAACCACATCCTTCCCCCAAGTGCTCCCAGTGTCTCAGCTCAACCCTCGGACCTACATTCTGTCTTCCCAGTTTCTCACGGACTCAGACCCTGCCCCAGCTGGACCCTCCCCCCACATACACTGGAAGGCCCAGAGGGTGAGCAGAGCTGGTTACCCCGAAAATAGGCTCCTCAAGTCTGCTGACTAAAGGTCACAAAGGTAGATGCCATGGCTGACAAATGAGGCAGGTAGGCTGTGAGAGGTGAGGACGGTGTGTGTGGGGGGGTGGGGTGGGGGGGATGGGTGCTGTGTGCCCACGCTAAATGGGCGGCTCTACTTACTGCCCACAGGTGCCAAACCTGGTTGATAGCACCCGTGGGTCAGACGAGACCCACCTGTACCCGGATTCCACCTGCTTATGACAGCATGACTGGGCAGTCTTCCAGCAATTTTCCTTGCCTACCCTCCCTCTTTCCCTGGCTGCATGCCCAGGCTGGCTTGGCCTGCTTGACCTCTAAGAGGCTGAGGCTGGGGCCTCGCCAGCTGACCGAATATAGCTGCGCTCTCAGGCCCCGGCCAGGCTTTCGTCCTCCCCACAGATTCCCACAGTTATAAAAAGTCAGCACTGCCCCACAGACCTTCCCGGACCCAGACACAACATATGGCTGGACCCAGGCCTCCCAGCAGGCCAGTGCCTCTCAAGAATCCAAGTCCCAGCCCTGCGAGGGACAGCCACTCTTCAGTGTGGAAGTTTGTAGCAGAACGTCCCCAAGGACAGGCAGGGTAGCTGGACCCCCAAGAGAACTATCTGTCTGAGACACACAGGGCTGTATTCTGTCTGTCCCATCCAGCCCGTCCCAGAGGAACCTCTCTTCTCCTGTCCTCTCATGCTTCTCCCCTAAGCCCTCCTATAAAGGGGCTGTCGATGGAGACTCATTTCCAACCCCTGCTAACACCCTAAGCCCCTTCCAGACCTAGAGGGGGAGGAACAGGATGTCAGTGCCTCAAAGGAGACGCAATGTCTCCGACCAAGGCTCAAGGGGAGGTTGTAGGAAATCTCTGAACACGAGGGATGTGGGACAGACCAAGGCCCACTCCGGCTTGAATCTTGGCTCCATTCACTCATACCTCTGAACCTATGCTTGGAACTAGTAAAGAAAAGAGAGACTCTCCTTCTAAGAAGGAGTCCCAAGAGAAGCCGGGACTAGATGGGGGTGTGTGTGTGAGGGGGGCTAACTCCAGGAAGCAATCTTATTGGAGATGTTTGTGGAAAAGCAGACTTTCCGTTTCTGGCTGAATCTCACGCATGTTGGCTCAGGAGAAGCACAGTCCAAGAAGGAGGCGGCAGCAGGTGGTACAGGATCCGAAGAGGGTTTGATGTGCTGGCTCCGGACACCGTCTTGCCCGCTCTGTGACCTTGTGCGGCTCTGTTCATCCCCCGTGCCCCAGCATTCTCCGCACACGGGTGTGTGTGTGTGTGTGTGTGTGTGTGTGTGTGTGTGATCATCTGTATCCGCAAGGTTCTGGTGAGGAACGAGTGAGCTGCTGCCTATAAAGTGCCCCGCACAGTGTTTGGAACACAGTAAGAGCCAAATAAATGAAGTTGCCGTGGTTACGGCGATGGTGATGATGATGATGACAAGGATGATGTTGGTAGAGCAAGTTAAGAGATGTTGGGTGCCTTCTGGCTCCAGAGGAAGTGGAGGAACATCTGCCAATCAGCCAAGAAATGAGAAGGACGGAGAGGAATTTGCTCCCACGAAGAAGGAACCAGCGGTGGCTGGGGAATTTCCACTGCCTCTCTTGATTATAACTCTGCCTGGCACCAAGTTGCCCCGGGAGGCAGCTATTCTTCCCCAGTCAGCCATGATGGCACCTGACAGGCTGGTCCTGCCCAGTTCAGGGCCTGAAGCAGGCTACCTATCCCCATGTCCAGCTCCTCGGCTTCCAGTCAAGAGGCTGAGCCAGGGGCCAATAATGTCTGGCCTGGAACCAGGAAAGGCCAGCCTATTAGGGAACACCATGACCTCTGGCTCCCTAACAATGCAAGCTGGCCGAGGGCACACAGGTCAAAACTCCCTCCTCTGCTCACAGCCAGGGAGAGTTTGAAGGGCACAGGCTTAATGAGATGGGAAGAGGACATTTCGCTGCACGGGGTAGGGAGCCGGACTAGGCAATCTCGAAGGTCATATTTGGGAATTCATGAATAACGTTTCTGGCAGCGGGAGAAAGAAGAAGCACACATAAAACACCAGCTCCGACTTTACACTGTGCAGGCTCAAAATCCCAGCTCTGCTTGCTAGCGACTGAGTGACCTCGGAAACCCTTATCTCGGAATCCAGCTCCCTTCCCTGCCAACTAGCCAAGAGGACTATTTGGTGGAAAAGAGCAAGTGAGATGGCAGATGTCTGATATGTTGCGAATAACCCAGAAAAAGAAATAACTCCTAAGATTTAAGATCACTTATCCCGTGGACCTTGACCCTCGCCGGCTACGTGCACCGTGGCTCGGAGGTAGGGGCGTGGGCTTAGCATGTACGAGAGGCTCTGGGTAACAAGCTCCGCCTGGGTATGGTGGCTCATGCCTATACGATATTTCCAACCTGCCGCAGCTAAAGCCAGGAGGATCTTGAGTTCCAGGCCAGCCTGGGCTACAGAGCAAGTTCCAGGCCAGCGTGGGCTACCGACAGAGGCCTCACCTCAAAAACAAAACAAAACAAATACAATAAACAAGCAGCAACAACCAAACGGGAAACCTGAGAGCAGTGGCGACCATCCCCATCTTCTCCGATTTTCTACTCTACCCTGTATCTCTGATGACGATGAAATCTTAACACGTGTCCGGTACTACACACTTGGCATTGTGCACAGCACACAATCATTTTGAGCATTAAATACTGGGGAATGGGTGTGGTGATGCACGAGTTTGATCCTAGCACTTTGGAGGCAGAGTTAGGGGATCTTGAAGTCTGGGGCCAGCCTAGTTTACCTAGAGGATTCCAGGCCAGTCACGGCCACACAATGAGACCTTGTCTAAAAAGAAAAAAGAAAAAGGGAAAGGAAGGAGTTAAGTTTTAGGAGGCAGCTGTATTGCCTCACACCTGAAATCCCAGTACACAAGCTGCTGAGGTGCAGCTTCCAGCATAAGCCCGTTTTCTAAAAGGCAGAACAAAAAACAACAACAAAAGGCCACACATCCGGCCTGGGGGATGTGTGAGACTCTGGGGTTGCTCCCCGATAACACACACACGCGTTGGAAGAGGAAGGTAGACATTAGCACTCCTTATTGATGGATGGGCCAAGGAACTCAGTCGCCGAAAGTTCAGTAATTTGTCCAAGATCACATGGCCCGAAAGAGAAGACCTGTGTGCTCTGACTTAAGCTCCGCTGTGCGGGGGAAAGATGGCCGGAGGAGGCGGAGGAGGAGAGGGCTCGTTCTTCAATTCACCTCCCCACGCAAATGTTAGGAGCCTTTGCGTCCCTGTTTGCCTGTGATCCTCTCTAATTCAGATCGGTGTCTGCCTCCCCAAATCACCTCCCTAAGAGGCAGAAGCCTCCTCCAAGAGAAGGACCGACGATGAGGCACTGGGGATACACAATAGAAATGCCAGGCCTCCCAGCAATCCAAGTAACAGCGAAGATTAAATGGAATTTGATGTGAGCAGCTTAGCCGAATGAGGAGGGCGGCAGGCTAAAAAGCCCCAAGTGTCCTAAATTGAGAGGTCAGAAACCTAATGGGAAAGAGGGGATGGGACCTGAGTGAAGGCTCCATCAACCAATCCAAAAACCTTACACGAGTCACCCGACCCTCCAGTCCCCGCCCCCTCAATTGGCAATCATTTCTTATTTGGAAAATGAAAATCCGGGAGGCAGATATCTTTATCAGTCATGTCTTCTTTGACGCATGAGTCTATGACCTGACTGCAGAGGACTGGCGATCTAGGCAAAGCCCACCTGAAAGGAACCCGCTGCAGATGCAACCCAGACCTTCCTAAGGACGACAGAGGGGAGAACCCTCGCTCCCCCAAAGGAATTCTTGCAAAAGAATATTGTCCTAGCATATAAGCAACTCACTTATCCACTCAGCAAAGTGACACTCAGGTACACTCCTGACCCACGTATCTCTTGGGCACGCTATTTCTCAAAAGAAGCCACCCTGGTCCCTAAGACCTGGTCCTTTGACACACTCACACCTGACTCAAGAATGGTTGTGGAGAGAAGCAAAAGGAGAAATGTGCTTGGTTAATGGGGTTCCTTCAAGCCCCCCAGTTTTTGAAGGCTTGGAGAGTACCAGCAAAGAGCACAGACCCCCTACGGGCCCCCAGGCCTGCTCCTGGAGGATGTCTGATTCTTTAAGGCTCTACACTGACAGCCTATGAATCCACACTTTCATGTTACACCCCAGAAGTCCCAAAGTCACATGATTTCTTTCCTAGCTCTTGCGTGAATCCCAAATATGGCCTTCCCAGACCCTGCCGCCCCTCAACCCCCACCCAAGGCAGCTTTAAGCCCTAACTTTAGTTCAGAGCCTGCCTAGGACGCAAGAATCTGCTACGGGAAGGTACCTTGAAGTTAGAACGGGGACACAACCTTGGGCAGACACCCTAGAAAGATGCCCACCCACTCCATGCCGTCTGGGGGCAGGCAGCAAGATGCCCCCCACCCCCCAGACCCCAGCAACCAGGACTTGGGCGCCCCGCAAACATACCTTTCTCGAGAGGTTTCTCAGTGGGGACTTGACGCAGTTGCCCATCCTACACTGACGCAGCCCCTCTGGCGATCTCTGGGTCCATGAAGGAGGCTCCTGGGGGGCCAGGAGACCTCAGTCTGGGTCACTGCCAACCCCAGCGTTTCTCTGCCTGCGCGGCTCTTCCTCCAGGACAGAGCTGAGCCCGAGCGCGCGCGTGCTCGCCTGCCTGCTCCTGCTGATTTTTTTTTTTTCTTTCCTGGTGGTTTGTATGTGTGTTTGTGTATCTAGGTTTAACTTTCTTAAGGAGACAAAGGCAGAAGAGTGCGTGGCACCGAAAAAAAAATCCCCTGGAGAGTTGATGGCAGAGGGCACTGGCGCTGGGAAGCCTTTCGGATCATCAACATCAGATTAGCCAGAGTCCTTTCTCTGCTTCTCTCTCTCTCCCCTTCCCTCAGCCCCTCCTTTCCACGCCGCCAAATATGCAGGGAGATTGCCTTGGGGAGGGGGACCCAAGGTGGCAGCTGCAGCTGGGAATTAGGCCAGCAGATCCAGAAGGGAAAGCTGGCTAGTTTGGACCCCCAAAGCCAGGGTGCCTCACAGCTTGCAAAGCTATCTTCGCACAAACACATACACCACACACACACACACACACACACACACACACACACACACACCACACATGCATGCACACACAGGACCCCAGGGAGATGTATGCCTCTTCTGAAGAGCAGTGAGCCGGGCAAGCATGCTTCATCAGCCACTGGCACTTCCAGCTGGATGGACAGCGAGGTGGTTTTCGGTCGAGGGCCTGGGAGATCTTGTGACGTCTCTATTACGCTCCATTTTTCACACTTGCCTCATCGTTGACATGGGATGAGGCTCCAGGGCTGGCAGCAGCTGAACCCACAGCTGTAATCACCTCTTTCCTTCTGCTCTCTTTGCTCCGTAAAAGCTCCCTGACCCTTGGGAAGGCAAGAGATGGCCCTGAGGGGGGCGGGATGGAGGCGGTGCTGGCACAGAGGACGTGACCAAGGTCTCTCTGGTCCTCCTCATCCTCTGCTTAATCCTGACCAAGGGTCTTTCACTGGCTTCGTTGGAGTGCAGAACAGGGAGGCTGGTCTTTTAGAAATGATCCTCGAAGACCCACAGCTGGGACTTTACAAATGACTGGATATTCCTCATCCCTCCACCTTCTTGCTTTGGCATGAGAATTCTTCCCAAGCCTCGGATGTTGGAGAGCGGCGATTGTGGCCGGTACCCAGGGATTCCTGTTTCCTCGCATCCAGCTTTGCCCCCAGTAGGGGGCGCCAGAGATAGCCCAGGAGGTTGACCCACGCCCAGGCCCCTGATGCAATCACAGACTTCAGCCCAGACGGCTTCCTCTCCTGGGGACTTGTGTCCTGTTTGGGTGTCTGGTCAGAAATCTCATTAGAGAAGATGACTGGGTGAACTGCCCAGTGGGTGGCACAGACTCCCTCCTAGGAGGCTGAAAGGGAGGCCGCTGGCTAGTTCACCGTGGCTGCGGTGCTGTGTGCCGGGGCTGTCCAGGGAATGGTATCGCCAAGGCAGTTTCTTGGTGCCTAGCCTGGGCCCTACTCCAGGGGGAGGGGGAGGAGGGGGGAGGCCACTCCCCGAGGACAAAAGGAGGAGCCCGAGTGGGAACAGCTAAAGGGCAGGAAAGAGGGTAAAAATGCCGGGAAGGGAGGAACAGGCAGCTAACAGAAATGCAAAAACCCAGGAAGGAAGCACTCGGCCCGGACCAGGGGTCAGGTTCCGTGGCCTCTGACGAGTGGGAAAGGATCTGGGGTCTGAGGTGGAGGCTCGGCTCTGCCTGTGATCCCCTTCCATCCCTGAGCTTCGGTTTCCTCCGTTCGAAAAGGGGACTTTCCCTGTCTGGCTAATGTAGTGCGTACAGGAAAGCCTGTGGTACATAATAGGCGCTGATAAGTAATTATTCAAGTGGACGAGGGAAGTATCGTTTGCCCAGCGTTTATGCGCCGGGTGCTGTGCTTGGCTCCGCGAACCAGGAGGAGGGACGGCGGGAGCTGACATCCTAGCTGGTGGGCAAGAGGTCGTGAGGAGCACAGCTCTTTACCACAGTTAAGACAACCGCTAAGAAAGAGACCCACACACCCTGATAAACGACACGAGAGTGCGCTTAGTCCGGGGAGATAGGGAGAGGCTTGCCAACAGAACCTAGAAAAGGAGACATGGGCTACACTGGGTAATAAATAAATAGTGTTTCCTGTAAAACCTAGGAGACAGATTGTCTGGACTACTCTCTAGCCCAGGCTGGCCTCGAACTTATGGAGGAGACTCCTGCCTCTGCCTCCCAGGTGCAGGTGTATAGGTGTGCACCACCATGCCTGGCTTGTCAACTCTTTTTGTTTGTTAATTTTTTATTTGTTTTATTTTTGTTGTTTTGAGACAGGATTTCTCTGTGAAACTGCCCTAGCTGCCCTGGAACTCGCTCTGTAGCCCAGGCAGGCCTCGAACTCACAGAGATCCTCCTGCCTCTGCCTCCCGAGTGCTGGGATCAACAAAGGCGAGTGCCACCACCACTGCGGCTTGTTTGTTAATTTTTAAAATCACATTTATTGATTTGTGTGAGGAGAGGCAGTGTGTGGGAGCCAGAAGAGAACTTTTTGGAGTCAACTTTCTCTTTCTACCACGAGGACCCTGAGTTTTGAACCCCGACCGTCACACTTGGCGGCAAAGCACCTCTACCTGCTGAGACCCACATTGGCCTGGAGCTTGAGATGTCGTTGATTATGACCTTGACATGACCTCGTACCCTGGACCCTTCTATAGCTCCCTCTCTGTGCGCCGTCACACTCAGCTATAAATTCTTTCCAGCCAGCGGCAGGGCTGGGGCTGGGCCTCGGGTCTGACTAGATGGAGAGAAAAGCGCAGACTAAGGCAGGTTCTCAGCCCTGGCCGTTGGAACCCGCTCTGCAATCCCTGCTCAGTGGGTGTAGGCGGTTGTCTGAGCACTGAGGCTGTCTACTCTACTCCCTCGGGAACTCTAACCTGTAGTTGGCCTTAAGATCCACTGAGAGGGGCTGGAGAGAGGGCTCAGTGGTTAAGTGCACTGGCTGTTCCTCCAGAGGACCCGGGCTTGGTTCCCAGCACCCACGTGGCTGCTCACAATCCTCTGTAACTCCAGGTCCAGAGGATCCGATGTCCCTCTTCTGAGCCCTGAAGGCACCAGGCACACATGTGGTACACATATGTGCCTGCGGGGGAAAATACTCATACACATAAAATAAAAATAAGTAAATCTTAAAAAAGGAAAAAGATAAAGTCAAAAGATGCATGGAGAAAGGGGTCCAAGCTTGGAATGCAGAGGCAGAAGGACCTGGGGCGGACCAGATTCACACTGGACTTTGGGGGGTCTCAGGCTAACTCAGAGCACGAAACAATACTTACACAAGCCCCCCCCCCCCCGAACGCACACCGCCACCACTGTCTGGCCCCTGAAAACTGTCCCTTCCTCTGCCTAGCATCTGTCTTAAAGGGCTAGGTGCAGCCTCCACTCAGTGTCTTCTTAGCCCTGGTGACTCCTGCCCCCTGCAGGCCAATCCCAGCCATAGCAGGTGCCGGCGACCTTGGACAATGCCTCTGTCCTTGGAAACAGGAGGCAGACTACGGCAAAACCAACCAAACACCTAACGGAAGCCCACTCTGGGGGTGCTCAGTGGGTCAGAGTGCTTCCTGATGAGTCTCACAAACCCCAGATGGATCCCTGGGACCCACATGGTGGAAAGAATCATCTGAAAGTTGTCTTCTGACCTATACACACACACACACACACACACACACACACACACACACACACACACACACACAGAAGGATGCACACATACAAATACACACACATGCACACACACATGCACACAATATATGCACACACATATACACAAACATGCACAGTAGCACACATACACACATACTTTATGTATCCATTTTTGCTTTTTGTTCAGTCAGCGTTTCTCTGTGCAGCCCTGGCTGGCCTGGAACTCACTCTGTAGACCAGGCTGGCCTCAAACTCACAGAGATCCACCTGCCTCTGCCTCCCAAGTGCTGGGATTAAAGGTGTGCGCCACCACACCTGGAATACACACATTTTAAGTAAGTAAATGTAAAAAAATTTGAAGTCCATTCTGCTTTGGGGTAAGAATAGGGCTGACACTAGCTTGAGGTTTAAGGTCAGCTAGGGGTCCAGGGGGGCCAGATCTGGGGTTTTAGAGTCTCCTTAAACTGAACTGGGTTGGCAGAGGGCAGGAGGAGGCACGAATGGCTTGACCTTCCCTAGAAAATGCAGCCTGGCTGAAGGTTGGGGGGGGGCTTCCTCTGAGAAGCGAAGAGCACCTTGTACCCCCATTTTTTTCATCCATCAATAAAATGGCCTCTGGAGCCACACTTTGAACTCTGGAATGAAATAATAGGATGAGAGGGATGAGCTCATCACTGGTTATCCCTGATTAGCGGGGAGACTGGCCCTGGGTCTTGATCAGCTCTGTCGGCAGCAAATGAACTTGGGTGGCACCCTAGTGCCAGGTCCCTCAGGGTGGAAGCTCGGGTACAGCATGGCGGTGCTCTGTGGACACTCCTGACAACTTCCCTCCCAGCCAGCACGGTGCCACTCAGGTGGCAGGTGTTATGGTTTGTTGACTGTATGACCTCTGGCAGGCACCGCCCTCTCCAGCACCTGTGTCCTCATTTCTAAAACGGGGGAGGACAATGCCAACCCTCCCAGGTTGCTGTGGCGATAACGAGGACAGAATCCGATCATTGTGCAGGGGCCTCTGGACCAAGGTCTTGAGTACCCCCAGTGGTCACTGGAAACAGCTGGAGGCAGACGCAGATACCCAGACGTCCCAGAAGATGCTCATCCAACGGCCTAAGCCACGTCTATCATCCATGTTGGATACACACCACAAGCTGGCCTTCTCTTCCCTCATCCCCGGGCCCCAGAGGGGAGCTGGTGGGACAGGAATGATACTTCACAGGCCTTCAAAACACAGGCTTGGTGCAGTTGAACCCATAAGACTCAAACCATCATGACCTTGGCCGAACTCTTCATCCGTACCACGGGAACTAGGAGCCCTACATAGCCTAGACACAGGTGACATTAGTCACTCGTCCACTCATGGACACTGTGATCCCTTTACATGTTGGATGGACACTGGGCTGGTCGCGCCTGCCAGCCCCCCACCCCCACCCCAGATCAAGAGAGATGTTTCTCTAGGATGGGACCAGAGCTGTGGGGTTTATTTGCATCCGTCTCTTCTCAAGCTGAGTGCTCGAGCAGAAGGTTTGTTTGTTCATAATGTGTCTCCCGAGACCCCAAGCCCCATATCGCGCTTAATGGAGGAGGTCACTTCTCACACCACAGAGTCTGCCTAGGCGGCTGGGTGACACCGTCCTTAGCCGGCAGAACCAGGGACAGCCCACTGACATTGAGCTCTGGGTCCTTTAAAGCCCTTCTTCACGCGGCGCGGAGGCTGCTCCCCTTACACAGCACTTATTCAGACAACGCTCTTTTAATGACTATTAATGAGAGCAGTCCCATTAATGCAGGCTGCTCTCTAGCCAGCACTCACTGTGAGTCGGGCCTCTGATAGCCTTAATTCTGTGTGAGCCTCGTCAAGACCCTGCAAGGTACTTTTTCCCCCGGTCTCATTTCTGGATGAAGAAGCCAAGGCCATGGAGAGAAAATGATGCCGAGGTCATAAATACACCAAGTGACAGAGGCAGGGTTGGAAGCCAGAGCTCTAGTACCTTCTCAGCCACCATACCCACACCTCAGCCTCAAAGCCACACTGTCTCCCTGCAGACAGCAAAGACGGCCCAGCTTGTCACGGGAGGAATCTTAATTCTCATTTCCCAAAGTCTATCTGGATACCTCTAGTGTGCCTAACTCTGGCTCTCTCTGCCGCTGTTATCAACAAAAAAGAAATGCATCCTTGGAGTTCATCGTCATCAACAAGAACAGTAATAATACCAGACACAGACACAGCCCTGGCTCTGTACCACGCAATGGTCTAAGCTCTGCACCCGTGCCCGCATAAATCATCTGACCTCCCCAGTTCTCCTTGAGACACTATGATTGATTTCTATTTTTTCAAGTAAATAAAAGCCTTGATGAAATAAAGCAATCCACCTGAGGCCCAACATAAAATAAGTTAAGAGGCATGAACCAAATATGTTTTGCCCTAAGCAGATCCATCTGGAAATTTCTGTATTCGGGGCCGCGTTTTGCTGTCTCTCAGCCCCCACCCTGTCTCTAATGCAGAAAAGAGACAGTAAGGAAAGACTAATTCCTTTATGTCCCAGGAGACTGGAGGCTCTGACACAGTAACTCCAGACCGGTTCTGTCGTCCCAGGTCGCTGGCTGATCGCTGCCATTCACACGGATGCCTGGGAGGTGTCACCAGGAAACTCAAATTGAATGTGCTGGGGGTGGGGGCGGGGGTGGGAGTCTGCAGCTCCGCGAGGCCGGAGCCTCCAGAGGGAGGCAGTAAATATTTCATGGGACCTTCTTCCAGCTCCTCCTGACTCAAGTGACCCTGTGACATTTCAGAACGTGGGGCTGGAGAAGAGTCTCCATTTAATGACTGGGAGGTCGGAAGACTGGAGTAGCCGGGTGCTGGAAGGCTCTGAGCCCAGAGAGGGCCTGTGTGGGCACATTCTGCAAGAGCAGGGAGCCGGGGTCCTTTTCCCAGATCACCGGCAAAACTGAATCATCAGTCTGTGACTGGGCACCTTCCAAACTGCTAGGTCATGGAGCTCCAAAACAGCCCAAATCTTGGCTGTCTTTCCCACCTCTCTCTTCCTACCTAGTGTACCACCAATGCCCCGGCACAGGAGGTATTCATAAGTGCGTGGCACCTGAGTGGCTCGAAATCACCCGCTAACCACATAGTATTTGGGTCACAACCCAGCCCAGACCCACAGATCGGTCCTAACATGCTACGGCTCCGAGCCACTGCAGTGAACATTTTTCCCTCGGCATGTAGCCAGGCTAACTCTCTCAGGGCTCTGCATCCAGACCTCTACTCCTGAGCACCGGTGCGAGTTCGCTGAGAGAACCGCTAACGAGGGCTCCCTGCCGGAACAAAGCCACGCGCCGCTGGCCCTGTCACACCATCTCAGCAGTCCCGTGCATCCCGAACCCACGTGCAGCCGCCTTCATGACAGAGCCCCACCCGCATAAGCCACCGCAGAGTAGTATTTTGAAAAGGAACGAGCAGATCTGAAGCAGCACACACACACACACGCGGCCTCCTCCTTGTAGTGCTGATCCAGCACAGCCAGCCGCGAGCCTGAGGTAGTTTCCTTGCACCAGATCCTACCACAGGAACGCTGAGACCACCCCCTGAGTCTGAAACCATGCCAGCATCCGGATTGCGCCTCTGCAGAACTGACCGCCGCGAGTTCGATTCAATGAAGACTCGGAACCAGTGGAAAGCTCGGCTTTGCTCAGAAGTTCACAGGCTCCTATGACACAACCCCACACTGTAGCCTTGAACTGGATGGAGGGGGAAGCTGTTTGTAAATGCCCGGCTGACTGGAATCCTCACGGGCAAAGGTGTGGGTGAAATAAAAGGGGTCTCTGGTGACCCTCGGTGGCCTCCCTGGCCCTAGAATGCACACCAACTCAGGCTTGTGTTTTCTGGGTCTTCTCCCACAACTGCCTTACTGACATCCAGATGGCATCCCTGGAATGCCATCCTCCTTAACACGCTCCAAAGTTCCAGATGGAGCTGTACCTCTGGACAGACCCTCCACGCCTGCCCAGGCATCTCTTCTCCTCCCCATTTTTCCAATCCCCTAACTTTTCTCAGACCTTTGAGGACACTCTGGGTAACGGCTAGCGTCACACATCTACAAGCAAGTCCCTGTACTCCCAGGCCCTCCTCCCCTTTGCCTACCAGACCCCAAGCCCTTCGCTCCCAGAGGCCAGAGGAGCGGGTTGGCACCGCCTCCTCCAAGCACCGCTCACGACCCGGGGAAATCTCCGGGAGGATTGCGGAGGTCGCTCCTGCAGGTGCCAGGCAGACTCGGCTGAGTGATGCCCAGGAAGAGGCCCGGAGTGTGGACAGCGCATAGGGTGCTGAATCAGACACGGGGGTGGAGGAGCACCAGGGCCGCGGGAGGACAAGATGAGTCGTGGTGCGCCCCGACCGGGCAGAGCGAGCAGGGCCAGGGACGCGCCGCCGCCGTAGGGTCCCGAGCGCCGGTGCCCCGAGCGCGGGCGAGGGGCGCGGCCCTTACCTGGCCGAAGGCGGAGCTGAGCATGGGGTGCAGCCGGTGGAGGAACGGGTCCGCCTCGGGGGCACCGGTGGGAGCCGGGTCCCCGCGACCCCGCGATCGCAGGGACCCCCGTAGACCGAGCGCCGGCGCCAGCCCCCGTTCCTCCCCATCGCTCCCGCGGGCTGGCGGCAGCGTCTCCCGGGGCCTG